GGCTACGGTCCCAAAAGTTGACTGGCCATGCCACCTGGAGCCTTGCGAAGACCAAGGGGCCCTGCCACCTGGAGCCCAAGTATATATGTATTATATATATATATATATATTATATAAGGCCCCAAAAGAAGACTGGCCCTGCCACCTGGAGCCCAAAAGGCTGTGGTCTCAAGAGGCATGCTAAAGGAGCAGGTTGCAAAGCATTTTGCTGTTCATATCATATTATATATAAATAGCAGCGGTCACAGCTCTCCTCGTTCATTTTCTTCTCTCGCTGACCCATGGGCTTTGTCGTTTATACATCCCCTAGATTAACGCATCGCATACAGAGCTGCGTCCCAAAACTCTAGAGCGAGCATCAGCAGCGCCGCTTATGCCTCCTTTGACTGCCTGGCTTTCCGCAGGGCAAAAAAAGGCGTCTCTTCCAGGTGTGCGCAACGCACACGGTGTTCGGGCTGCGCTTCTGGCTTTGCGGGTGTAGCCGGCCGCGAGGACGCTGCAGGCGAAGCCTGCGTGGCCATGCTCGTCTGCATGCTGTCTTCCACTTCCAAGAGCAGGGCTTGGCCGCGAGCTTGCAGCTCGGCCACGTGGTCTAGAACAGCAAACCGCGTCCGGTTCGCTGCGTCCTTCGTAGAAGGGGCAAGCGCTTCCTGCACTTCCTCTTTCAGCTTGGCGACCAAGAGGCGGTGCTCCGAGCTGAGAGAACAGTGTGGGGAGACGAGGGCAGACTGCAACTGCTGCTCCAGCTGTGTGAGAAACAAAGGTTCCTGCCCCAAGACCCTCTTCGGCGGAGGGGTGTGGGGAGGTGCTTCGCTGCAGACCTCGACTTCCGAGCTCGCTTCGTCCTCCTGGTCTGAGCGGTGCCCCGGCAGGACCAGAGTAGTAGCGTTCGAGTCCGGACTCGCCGGCAGCGGCCGCTTCTTGCACTTCTCCTGGCTTCCCTCCGCAGAGGCCGTTGCCGAGGACTGCGTCTGCTTCGAAGAGTCCGGCTGCTGGAGGTAGGCTCGTAGGTTCAGGTGGAGACCCAAGTTGGTCCCTGCACCGGCATACAGCCGGACACCTTGCTCAGAAACAGTAGCCCGCAGATTCATGCTTGCTACAACGCCTGCTGTGTTGGGCTCGAGCCGAAACCTTGTCAGGAAAACAGAAGTTCTATATCATACAGGGAAACAGTGCAGCAACCCGTTGGGGATATCTATATATACGTCTTATAAACAGATCAGAGGGGTGCGAGAGAAATGCAGCAGCCCTCGGGATTTTTGGTCTTGGCGAAGCCGCACTTTCTCCTGAGGCAGGTCCTGCTGCCAGTGTCCACTCGAGCGATCGCCCTGATGCGGGCGGGCGATCTCTCTTCTTCTCCTATATATAGGATGCAGAAATTAATGAATTAAGGCAGGGCGGGCGAAAACGACCGCGGTGCCGTCGTGCAAGTTCAAGCCACTCAGTTCCCCGGGGTGCTCTTGGTTCTGCGCCTCTTTGGCGCCGGTTCCGCACCGTTGCTGGCGGCGGCGGCCGCACGCTTCGCCTTCCTCGACTCAAGCACGACAGCCTTGCGAGTTTCTTTGAGTGCCTTGGCGGCGGCTCCAACGGTCTTCAGACGGGTGTCCACTTCTTCCTTCGAGAAGGGCAGCGTCAGTGGAACTTCGCCTGCATTCTCCTTCTTGGCCAGCACGCTCTCGCAGGCAATCTTCCAGCTTTGCAGCAAAGAGTGGGACTCTTTGAGCAACTTAACCGTGGCCTCGTCGTCCAAGGGGCTTGTCTTCGCAAGGAGCAGCTCCGTCTGCAGCCAGCTGTTGGTGACCGTGGTCAAGACTTTGGCAGCCAGACCCAGCACGGTCTGG